ACCGCTGTCGACGGGACACAGGTGTAGCAGGCCTGCGCGATAAAGAGGCTCTCTACGCAGTGCAGTCACTCTCCACTTTCACTCCAAGTCTCTGCAATTGAATCAAAAATGTGGCCTCTTCACGACTTGCATGTGAGACGCGGCTGAGCGTGTGGCTGTGGCTGTGGGCAGGCGCGACCCTGAACTACGGGATTCGCGGCAGGGGCCAACAAAAGTTCCCATACGGTCAGCGACACGCAACCTCCTCAACAACTCGACTTGCACTCCATCTACACTCACTTCAGCCGCGTCAGCGCATTCACTCTCTCGCGACTCTTTCCCATCTACGTAAGGCAGCCATCTACTACATACAATTCCACCTCCCTCCCCTCTAGAGGACACATCTCCAGCCTTCCCTCGACTTCCACCACTATCAGCAGCTGAACTGACCATGACTTCCCCTAAAGATCTCGAAGAACAACAGCAGACCCTCATTACCCCCGACCAGCGTCAACAAACACCACCCCCCGAAATCACGACCCACACGCCTTCCGTCATGTCTCGCTTCAGCATCCCCATCGATGCCCTGACATCCCGGATGAATTTGGGCGGACGCTTCGACAGCATCCGCTCCACTTCAGTCTCGTCGCGATTCGCCAACCTGCGACCCATCTCCGAGTTCTTCGACTTCAAGCGCATCTCCAAGCCCGCCAACTTCAGCGAGGTTCAGAGCAGGGTCAACTACAACTTGGGCTACTTCTCGAGCAACTATGCCGCTGTCTTCGTCATGCTCAGCATCTACAGCCTGCTCACCAACTTGATGCTACTCTTTGTCATCATCCTTGTGGTCGGTGGTATGTTTGGAATCGGCAAGCTAGAGGGCAATGATCTCCAGCTCGGTAGCTGGCGCGCGAGCACCTCCCAGCTATACACCACGCTCTTCGTCATTGCGATTCCCCTCGGACTCTGGGCCTCGCCCTTTTCCACTGTTCTCTGGCTCATCGGCGCAACTGGCGTCACCGTCGTGGGCCACGCTGCATTTTTGGACAAGCCCATCGAGTCAGCTTTTTCCGAGGAGGCGGTCTAGGTGGTCGGCCGCGAACTCCTCCTTACACTATGCCCCGCTGGGGAAGACCACCAGGGGGCTCGTCGGGTGTGGGGAGATACTACGAGGGGGGACAGAACGACGTGCATAGGTTTCAAGAATTGGATAGCGACGATGAGAAGGGTGGCGTTGTATTAGATCAGGCGTTTCAGCCGGCTTTGAACGGCAAGAGCATCAATCCGGATGAGCTTTACTTTAATGATATGGATATTAGTGCCTGGGAGGGCAGGGCAGCAGCTTTGGGTGAGGCAACATACCAGGATCGTGGTCATCAACAGCGTTACGACGAATATCCTGGTAGTATGGGCAGCAACTACAATTCGGCCGAATATGAGGAGATACTTTTCCGTCGAGTACTCGACAAGATTCGCATACAAAGAGCAGCAGGCTATACCGATGTGCAGCTTACTGCAGAGGAGCTAGACGCGTATCATGCACGATTTCTTGGCCCAAGGACGACGGATGTTCGCCCTGAAGCCCAGTCTCGACCGAGCAGTGCTTACTACCCCAACGACCCTGCAAATGTGGTCAGAGACGATGCAATTAGCAAGCACGGCAGTTCCTCCAGATCCAAGAAAGATCAGAAGCGAAGTTCGCTCTCTGGATCAAAGTCGAAGGAGAAGCCCAGCAGTCGCAAACGAATATCTACTGTATCAACCACAGATAGCCGTGCACCGCCACCCGGCTTCGTCATACCTGGCCCAGACGGACAGCCTATGTATGCGCCCATCAATGCTTACCAGGGTAGCCTGGAACGGGAACGGGAATCTCCACGTCCAGCGTCCCGTTCCGCGTCTGATGCTAGTCATTACGTCCCTTCGCCATCGCACGCCAGCTTTTCTCGAGAAATGCTCGGCGCGTTCCCAGAATCTGTGGTCGATTACCGTCCCACCACCCCTCCACGGCAAGGTCGTTCTATGTCCTCTCGACAGGCTGCATACGAGGCTGATCTGCCACACGGGTCACGCACAAGATCGTCCTCTATTCAATCCGCTGGGCTTGTCCCGTTCCCTGTGGAGCCCTACCAATACCACAACTTCAGTCCTACGTCCTCTTCATCGCCGACTTCGCCTCAACCGCAATATACACGGAGTGTAAGTTCGGCCGTATCTGAAGCCAGCTACACATCAGTGCCACGGCGTGTCCCAGTCCCTGCTGCTACATCGGCATCACTTCAGCGAGCGGCACCTGCAGCACGTAGCCATGTCAGCCAGTTGGATCCAGCTCTAGCTGCACAAGCGTCAAGCTCTGCTACTCCAGCTCAAACTCAAGAAGCTGCTAGAGGAAGTGGCCATGGAGTTGAGAGGCGGCGGAAGAGCGGTAAAAGTAGGAAGAAAGGTTGAAGCATCTCGATGTAGTTGTACATGGCACAAATCCCCCGCTCTCCAATCTGACACTTCTGATCCAATTGATTCTTGCTTTCGTAGACATTGCATACAAGATAGTGGCCTCGAAGACGGCCACGTATGTAGTGGGCCCTTGATATTCCTGTTGTACTGATAAATATATGTATTGCTTGCTCCACTGAGGTGTGTTGTTCGATAACAGTCATTCGATCTGACTCTTAATCAGTCAAAACGTGTCTCGAACTGGGCAAGGAGCGCATGCAGGAACGGGTCTGTCCCCTCAATCCAGCCCTTAGCACGATTTGTTGAATGCCATATTGCGTGTGCTGCATCTGCATCTTGCAGCTGCATCTGGGTCTCGAACACTTGCAACGGTTTTCTAGACACTTATGCGACAAGGGTACGCGCACAACGGCCGTTGCATAACGGCTGTTTCGATCGCGATCACGTCAAAAGTCCCGGGTGGCCATCAAAGAATAACCAATATTGATGGAAGAAGTTTTGGTCACCTGTGTTGCACTGCCCTCGCGTAGAGACGAATAATCTCCGCGATTTTCATGGTTCACGCACATCATCGCACATGGTGCACAAGTGGGATCTGAGATGTCGCATAAATCGGAGACTGGGGGTACCTGCAGGGCTACGTCCGGCTACGCCCAACCACCAAAAAGCGGTCAGTTAGTCTGCGACGATCATTCCTCTGCTTGCTCCACAAGTTCGCGCACATCTTTAAGCTGGCCAAAGTTCCTTCCCTCATCAGCATTCCCCAACCGTGCCATCTTTTGTGGTCTTTTTCTACCCGTCAACGTGTTCCTTACTAGTCCTTGACTCATTTTACCCACGTTTTCCCGTCGGAGTCGTCGTTGCGCACGGTGTGGCCTGTGTTGTCATAGTGTGAGAAAGTTGGGTTGCTATAGCCTCGAATTTAGTTGGCTAGTAGGGCGCGCGCGCATCAGGCCAAGGCAGGGTCAAGGAAGCAGGGAAGAACCTGAGCTGAAGTGAGGCAAAAGAGGAGGCGATTGAAGCCCAAGAGACCCACATCCCTTCACCGGTTGTGTGTTTGCGACTGCTCTCTCTTCTAGTCCACTGGATACTGTTGCGCTGGCTTCAAGACTCACAGTCATAGAGTCGTTGTTGTCGCTAAACCTCATCACCGCGCATATCAAGAGTTATCTTGCGCTGAATGCGCTGGGCGGATCAATACACTTTACACCACCGCATCCCGACGTCTGTCGCTCGCGCGCATTCATCCCGTCGCTCATCAACATCAAGCCTCGGAGTACCAACAACACCTCTTTCAGCCGCCATACATCCTAAACCAACCTTACTCCTCCCCTCCTCCACCAACACCCACACCCCACGCCCCACCACCATGGGCTACGGCAGCAGCTCCTGGAACCCCTTCTCAACAGGGGGCTCACCCTCGCGCCGCTCCTCATCCGGATACCGCCCTGGCTACGCCTCGTCCTCGTACTCTGCGTCCTCGCGCCACCACAGCTCCACGTCGCGCTACAAGCGGTCCCCCCGCGACTCGTACATGCAACACCTGTACAAGAAACTACAACACTTCCTCCGCGAAATCTGGCGCTACGCCCAACGCCACCCCTACAAAGTCTTCTTCATGGTCATCATGCCCCTCGTCTCCGGCGGCGTCTTGCACAAACTCGCTCGTCAGTTTGGCGTCAACCTACCTGAGATGGGGGGACCGGGTGCGAGAGGCGGGTACGCTGGCTCAGGGCACACCAACACCAACTACAATACCAGAGGTGCCAGCAGCACCGGCGGCTACTACGGCAGCCAAGGCTACGACTACTCCAACACCCGGAGCGCCCCAAGCAACGGCGGCGGAGGCATGATGGCCGGCCTCGGCAACATCGACATGCAGAGCGTCTCTTCTGGCATCGGCGGTCTGGCTAGTCTGGCGAGTATGGCAAGCAAGTTCATGTAAAAGAGTTGAAGAGGAGCTGACTGCGGCTTCCTCTTCTAGGAACGGTCGAGAATGTCCTTACTATTACGAGGGTGGTTGGGAATCTGACAAGAGGGGGAAGTGATTGGTGACATGAGGGGCAGAGGAGTGATCCTCTGCAACAACGGGCTTTGCCGCAGATTATGAGTGAGGAGATGGCGAGGAAGTGGGAGTATTGGAAGGGGCTGTGATGGGGAAGCTGTGATGGAGAAAAAGGCGGTACTTTTTGTTTTGCCTGTTGGCTTTTCTTGTTGCACGACGTTACGACGGCGCGATGTGGGGAGACGTTTGACGACGTTTTCTCCTGTTCTTTTCCGTTATGGCTTGTTTAGCTTTCTTGTTTTTTTCTTTTCGTTAGAGATATCCCTCCTTTGCGTAGGCTTGGACCTGCCTGGCGTTCAGATGCAAATCAAAACTTGCTCTTCTTATACCTTACTGCTCACCCTCGTACGTGCACCTAAATCAACCCATGAAGCCTGTGAAGTGCGTGTAGTAGATTTACCAATCTAAACCAACAGTAGCCAAGCACCCAAGACAACTCCAAGGATATCGTCATTCATACAGTCAACACCACCCATCCCCCTCCCTCCTCCTCACACCCCCATCAACCACTCACAACATTAGCAAAAACCTTCGCCGCCAATCCACTCAACAACCTCGCCTTATCCGCCTGCGGCATCTCCTGAAACACCGCATAAACACTCTTCCCCTTCGTATCCCTCACAGCCCCGAGTCTATTCCCCGCCACCGCCCCCGCAACCATCCCGGGGAAGTTGGCCACAATAAACCCCATAGCCCCTCCACTCAACCCGCCGACTATACTCCAAAACTTTGACGTGGGATGCGCGTCCTGATCAGCCATCCCCTCTTCCCTAAGCATCTCCTCAAAGATACCGCCAAACTGCTCTTCAGAGAACCGATTGTGCGATTCCTCCGTGTTGCCGGCGGGTGCGGCGCTGCCGAAACCAAAGGCTGACCAGGGGAAGCCTTGGGCGAAGCCGCCGCCTGTGCCTGCGCCCGCACCCGCATTTCCTGGGATGTCTTCTTCGAAATCAGAGTCGGGTGTTGCGGTACTGCCCGTGAAACTGTTGTAGGTGCGTGCGGCGTCGTAGTCGCGGCGCCGTGTCGCATCTGATAACGTGTAGTAGGCGTCGTTGATTTGCTGGAAGCGCTTTGTGCGGCTTGCGCGCTCCGGGGAGTCAGAGGGGACGCGGTCGGGGTGGTGCTTTAGTGCTGCTCTGTGGGGGGAGTGTTAGATTGGATGGAGGTTTGTGGGGTGGGTGAGGTGGTACTTTTTGTAGGCATCGCGGATTTGCTGTTGGGAAGCTTTCGAGTCGACTTCGAGTGTTTTGTCTATGGTGTTGTATGAGCTTTCGGGTAGGAGGTAAAGGTTTGTGTGCGCATACAGTAGTCTGGTTGGGGAGCTGTGTGGTATTAGTTAGACGTTATCGCTAGGCTGCTGTGCATCTCACCCATGATGTTGGCTGGTATCGGAGATTGGAATTCGAGAGTGAGAGTATTGTTTAGATCGGGTGTTGGGAAGGCGATCGAAGCAGCGAGCAGACTTCAGGTAAGTGAGGATGTAGGTTGTAGGTTGTGGGTACAGTGGTGCGAAGTTCAGGGACAGGTACGCGGGTCGGAGCAATGACGTAGACGCGAGAGGTCTAGCCACATTGGCTTCACGTTTGCACGTGAAAAAGCAACCCTGAAACCATGTGCTTGGGATTTCCTGCAGATCGTGCACTATACACGGACGCATCACAGGGATTTAAGCTTTTCGTCTGCATTATTTCAGTTGGAGACATCTTTAGGTACATAGAATGGAATAATAATTAGTGTTAAGCCGATGCAGCGCACGTCCTAGCTAGGTATCATACAACAAACCTCGATCCACCCCCTCCTCAATCTCAGCCTTTCAATGCCTCCAAACCATCTCTCCAAGCCATCTCTTCAATCATATCCAATAGCACACTCCCCCCCAGATCAAAAGTATCAACAAAGAAAAGGATCTCCTCATCGGGCTCCGTACAAGGAAGAGGCGATGCAATATCAATCATATCTACCGTCTGAAACTCGAACTTAGGCCGGCGAATGCGTCAGGGGAATGCCGTCCACTCATTAATCCAGAAAAGTCCACGCTCTCGTTGCTGACATGTCTGAGGCCAGGCGTTTGTGCGGCAGATAGTGCCTGTCCTTGTGGTGCGCCGGTCATGTTGCCAAATGGGTTCGCACGTCCAGGTACTTGCGCTGCAGGCGTTGGAGCTTGTACAGCTGTTGGTTGAGCTTGTTGCTGCGGCGCTTGATGAGGAGCCTGCTGAGGCTGATTGTATAGCGAGAGGATCGAGGCGTTCTTGTCGAAGGGATTGGAGCTTTGCTGTTGGTAGAGTGCCTGTTGGTTCTGGAAACTCTGCTGCTGGGTCTGATAGTTTTGTTGTGGATCCTGGTTTTGGAAGCCTGATTGCTGGGTCTGCCACGGGTTCGCCGATTGGGGAGTTGAGATCTGGTTATACTGCGGCTGTGGCTGTTGTTGTGGCTGTTGTTGTGGCTGTTGTTGTTGTTGCTGCTGCTGCTGTTGTTGCATTTGCTGCGACCAAGGATTAGGCATCTGTGGCTGTGGCGGAGCAGACATCGGCTGAGACATCTGTTGCTGTTGCATCGTTGGCTGCCCAAATGGATTTGAACTTGCCAGATTAGTCGGTGTAAACATTTGGCTTTTCGACGATCTCAAAAAGGGATTTCCTGGGCTTGAGGGATTGGACATGGACTGGTACTGCGGCTGTTGCGGTGCGAAGAAGGCGCTGTATTGTTCGGGTATTTGCGGCATCGGTGGCGGAGTAAACGACTGGTTGTACGGGTTCGTTTGAGCGAAAGACGAGGGTGTTGAATCAGCGTAGCCTCCAGTTCGGTTCGGAAATAAGGGTTGTTGAGGTTGCTGTTGCGATATCTGCATGCCTTGAAACGTCTGTTCGAGGCTTTGCTGCTGTTGATCCCATGGGTTTTGTTGATAGCCGAAGTTTTGCTGCTGCTGCTGTTGCTGGGGGACCTGTTGCTGGGCATACCCTTGAGGCGCCTGTTGCTGAGCATATCCCTGGGGCGCTTGTTGGAGGAATGGATTGTAGGACGTTTGCTGGGTCTGAAGAGGAGCGAGTTGGGGTTGCTGTTGAGGAGCCTGTGCTGGAGCGTCCAACGCATCGAAAGGGTTCGTAGAAGACGCGGTAGGGTGTGCGGTGCTGATTGTGTCGAACGTAACACCATTGGACGCAGGCTGCGAAGCAGGTGTTGGCGTGCTTCCTCTCGACCGGCCAGGGTCCTGCTCTCCAAGTCGAATCAAAGCCTCCACTGCCCGGTCCAGATTCCCATTGAGCCCCTTCAACACCGTGGCGTTGCGCTTGTCGTCTGGGAAGCCCATGTCCCGAAGAGTTGTAAGTTTCGAGTCCAAGCCATCACCAGAAGTGTGTATGTTAGAGCCGAACACCCTAGAAGGCTTGTTGATGCGTGGCGGCGACTGGTCGTGTTGACTGAACCCTCCCAAACCTGGTGACAGCGGAGGAGTGAGATCGCGTGTGGTGGAGGCCTTTCGCAATCCAAATCCAAAGCGGCCGGTGGGCTTCGGCGGTAATGGCGGTGGCCGGTCCTCAGAGCTCGTGCTGCCTGTGTTCTGTCGCGTGCCCGGTCGCGAAGCATCCAAGTATATTCTCTGCTCGTATTTTGCCCGTATGTATCTCTCCATGGCACTGTCTACTTCGTCGATGTCGATGGGTATGGAGGGCTTGACGTTGCGCGGGTTATACGTCTTGTTCGACTCGAGATTGCCAATGCGCTTCATGTTCTACACGGGTGTCAGCAATCCGGTATGAACCGCGGAGGTCTAGCAAGTCTTACGTCTACTTGCGCATTGTCCCACTTGTCCATACTCAAGGACTTGACCTTGGAGATGTGCGTTCCCAGTTTCCGATGTAGGGCTGCGCATCGCATGCACAGGAAGATGCCCAGCTACGCAGAAGTCAGTTTGGGCTCACCTTCGAAGGACGATCGGTTCGTAGAGGGGTACGGTTTCGCTTGGTGGTATGGGTAGACTTACACTCCAGCTTGCCCATCCTGTATAACCTGGTTAGCATCTGAGAGCCCAACGAGATGCGCCTGCACTACATACCTGGATTCCGCGCGCCACAGTCTGCGCATGTCCCATTTCCAGGGACCGTCTTGATGAGATCCTGCAGCGCACGCTCATTACGCGCCTGCTGGCGTTTGTTCAGAGCCGACGCCATGTCGTCCAGTCTGGAAGGAGGAAGCGGTTCGGGCGGAGGTTGAAGATCGGGGAGCGGCAGAACGTGCACGAGAGCAGTACGCGCGGGGAAAGGGGGCAGGACGGACGGCAAGAGGGCGCGTAGCTAAGATTACCAGAGAATGAACAAGTCCATCGCAAAGCAAAACATGAGCACAGAAAGGGGAGCTCGTAGGGCCCTTAGTTGACACGCGCGATGACGAGTAATGCATCCGTTCCACTTCACACATGGCATCCGCACAAGCTCCAGAACCCTGCGTTTTTGGTCTATATACGGCATCATGCCCCTGTCTGAGCTTGCTGCCCTCCGCCCAAAAGTACATCATCGACCTCCCAACCCGATGGGCGTGGAACAGCTTACGACAGCGCATGAACGACGTGCAGGCTTGGTGGCGCGACTCGTAGACGCTGCCGATCTGGTTTTGGTAAGGCCGAGGCCGCCGTCTTCGTTGCCGCAGATACGATCCAACGCTGACAGACATTGCCGTCGTCAGCTCTCCGGTACTCTAGAGAAGGAATCTTCCCAGCTATTCAAAAGCATACGCAAAGCACACACAGAAGCGCACATTCAACACTCTCAGCGCTGTTCAAAAGAATGTATGGTCACGCAGGTGGCTTCAAGCAACATAGAAATCGTAGCAAAAAGCCTAAAAGTGCCAGGTATTGTTCTAGTGACGCAAATATGACAACTATAGAGATGAAGAGCTCAGTATAGCCGTTGATTAATCGTCCATTGTGATTTTGTGAATATGGAAGGAAAGCTGAGGCCGAGCTGCGACGAGCTTTTCAGGCGCGCGGGCAGCGCCAAGCCATGCTGACAAAGAAGGGGGTCCGAGCGGGCTAAATTCTTCGCACGTAAAACCAAGCTCTGGCTCGTTCTTCTGCTCATCAACAACCTCGCGATGCACAGCTTGCGGCACGTGCTCGACACCGAATGATCAATGTTTGTCGTTCTGGGAGTCGTCGCTGCTGTGCGCGTTGTATGCTACTACCCCACTCTTGCCTGCTCCCTGGCTCGTCTTCATGGCCAGGAAGCAACTTTTCTCTCTGTGGGAGATTAATATTGGTTTTTAGCAGAGCCGTGTCTTCTCCACCCTACCCATATTCTTCTGTGGATGTGTAGGACTATAATTGGACATACATCTTTCTTCAGTTCATACTCTGTGCTGGTTGTTGTGACGATCCGAGCTTCGATGTGCAGTGGACGCTGTGCCTTGACGATTTCCTAAGGCAGCTCCCATTGATCGGGCTTCGAGCTTAAACACGCATTCGGCTGCTATGGTCTTGCCCTCGTCTATGTTTCGTTGTCGACCCCATCTCGCTGAATCAGCTGAATGATGAGCGCAATTCCAGGGCAACACCACGACGTGTCATAATGACACGTTGAATACTGGACCAAGCTGGCCAGCTGAGACGCCTGCACTCATGCATTTGGAGGCTTCTATCTCCAAGTCCAAGCAATAATGTACATATCCATTTCTGCGCTTCCTCCTTCGACATCCACACCAACACTGCGCCTCATAGATGCGCCTTTGATACCTCATCCCCTCGGAACCGTTTTGGCCAGATGCCCTGCTTACCAGGCGACAGTATACCATTAGGATCGACGGCGTCTTTGATCGTCTCGACGAACCTTCGATACGCATGATCGTTGAAATCATACAGCGAAGCGACACGATCTGGGTAAGAAGTTAGCGACTGACAGGCAATCTCGAGGCAGAAGATATAACACATACCCATGGTGTTGACGTGGCTGCGATACTTGCTGTATCCCCTCTTCTTACCCGCCTCGAACAGGCCATCAAAGATGTTCTGCACCGCTTTCCGATGCATCGCGTTCGTCTTGTCAAACGTGAACATGTTGACGAAAATGACTAGATAAGGTATCGACGTCAGTATATGTCATCATCCACCGCTTAAGAGTCCGATCTTACCATGACGCTCATGCATAAAGAAGTCACAGAACAGATCAAAGTTATCTTTCTCGCAGATCTTCTTCGCCGTCCTGACCCAGTCCAGAATCTCTTTGCCCTTGGACGGAATGATAGGGCTGTAGTCGTAATGCGCACCAATGCCACCCCCGGACTTTGGCAGGCGGAACTTCACCATAGGAAGCGACCAGAGCGTCGGTATACCAACGAAGAACCCACCATCCATCTCCGGAACAGATGTAGGATCCAACGTCTCTCCA